AGGTGGATCTGGATTGGAACCAAGCATGTAAAAGGACACAAGGTTGTTGTTGTTGTTGCTGTTGTTGTTAAAATTTATTTGATGCCTTCTCTCACCACAAGCAACACAGGCTATCTTTAGAAAAACAAAACAACAAGCAACACAAAAAATATACATTCATTAAAACCAAAGAGGAAAAAGAAAACATTTAAAACAATCCATGCACCCCATTTTGAAGTGCTATAAATTGTTAACAGCCATTATTTATGAATATGGGGGGGTGATAGCTAAGGAGAAAACTGAAGCAAAAAACTGAAATGTCCATCTCATGCTCTGTCTTAATTGTGTGAGGCTTCCAGTGAGCAGAAAGTTGTTTTTCACCATAGTAAGCAGATGTAACACTGAATATACAGAGATATGGAGTGAGAAAAACGCCATTTCAACAGTTTTGTTTTGAGAACTACTGTGAAAAGGACTGCCTTTTGGTTTGCTTGCTTTAAAAAAAAAAGGAATGATGGAAGCAAGTAGATGGGTCTTTCAAACTTAAGTCAAGATTAGCAGAACACAAACAGGTTTACAAAATAATACACTAGATCAGTAAGTATTATTTTGAAGATTTTGAAGGTATTTCATGAATGGCATGATGAAATCTGGAAGACCAGTTTAACGGGAGTCAGAAAAATAAAGCAGGGTTAGAAAGTGTTTAAGAAGTGTAAGAGAGATTCTCTGTTTGTTGAACTGATATTTAGGAAAAATATCTGACCTCTCAGTTTTAGTCAGCTGGATCCAGTCTTTACCATCCATGGATAGAAAGGCTCTATCAAGCTACAGAAAGTTTCTGATTCAACAGAAGGACCTGGCTGGCAGAGAACAAGTATACAACTTTTGTGTATTCTTGCACAGCTTCCTAGAACAGTTCTGGAGGGAAGAGATGAGCGAATCTGTCAATTTGTGTTTCTTTCAGTTTCATTTTTCCTTTCTCGAGTTCAGATCTCCACTTTCAACAATAGTTAGTGATTTTTTAAAAAACAAAAAACCCTCTCATGAAAAATCACCAGAACATAACGTAACATTCTCAGTATAGACACATTTTTGTACGAAGTTTTGATTCACACCCATTTTTGCAAAGTGATTTCCCCCAAAGCAATGTATTTTTGCATGCTATTTTCACTAATTTATAGTGCAATTCTATAGCTACTTTAGTATATATATTTTTGTATACACCATACAAATTACTTGGCTGGAGAACCACACTGCAAAATTCAGAGAAGTGTGATTTTCAGAGGATGACTGGGTTTCAGTTTGCTTTTGCTCTCCTTTTGCTCTTCTTCTTGCTGTTGTTCAAATCTAATAATTCTGATTTATTTATAGCATGGTTATATAATTATAATTCATTCTGATTTGCTTCTGTAGTGTTTTTTTGTTTTTGTTGTTAATGATTTGTTCGTCCTACTCTTTTCTGTACGTTTCCCCTTCCCTTCTTAACTTCCCTTCTTAACTGCTTTCCTAATTTTTTTTAAAAGTGGATTTTCTTTCTTTCTTCTTCTTTTGGTACTAGTGCTTTAATCCTATTTAACTGCACAAACTTAAATTTGCAATATGTGCTTGAGTCCCTCCCATAAGATAGTTGCACTAAGTCCTGTTGTTATGAGATAGATACTCTAGAAGTGGGACACGGGTGGCACTGTGGTCTAAACCCCTGAGCCTCTTGGGCTTGCCTATCGGAAGGTTGGCGGTTCAAATCTGTGTGACGAGGTGAGCTCCCATTGCTCTGTCCCAGCTTCTGCCAACCTAGCAGTTCGAAAGCACACCAGTGCAAGTAGATAAATAGGTACCGCTGCGACAGGAAGGTAGATGTCATTTCGTGTGCTCTTTCCATCATGGTGTGCGTTTCCATCATGGTGTTCCATTGCACCAGGAGCGGTTTAGTCATGCTGGCCACATGACCCGGAAAGCTGTCTGTTCCCTTGGCCTGAAGTGAGATGAGCGCCACACCCCATAGTCACCTTTGACTGGACTTAACTGTCCAGGGGTCTTTTACCTTTTAAGTACTCTAGAGTTTGGGGTTTGGTGTCTTAGCAGACATATTGGAATAAGTGGAGGTGAGCAACTGAATGGTAATTTTGAAAACAACTGAATTCTATTAATATGTGCAGAATTACAGATATGAAGATAATGCCTAGCCATATGACTTCTCCTTTTATGAACTCTTTCTAAATAAATACAAAGATCCGGTGTTCTTCCTTAAAGATAACTAACTTTCTATTGAAACAGACTAAAGAACTAAAATGGTCTTTGTTGGCCTGACTGTATGATATTGTGAAGGTGAGAGAAGGCCTAATTTTTACCTTGAGGTCTTAAATGAAGATCTCCCCAAATATATATGTCAGAGAATCTTCTGGCATTAACACTAACAGCTGCAGCAAGCACTTTGTATTAAAATAAACCCACCAGGAAAGACAAACACAAAGGTGCATGTGTGTTTGTGAGAAAGTGAGAGAGAGAAAGAATGAGTGAGAGACAGAGAGCGCTGACAGCTACTCTTAATTCACTTACCAGTGTTTCCTGTTTGGAATTGTCTTGAGAAAAATAATTTGATAAGCATTAGCAGGCAATGCATTTCCCCCAGATATTCAAAAAAGGAGCTACATTTAAAAAAAAAAACCTTTACATTAAAGGAGGATTTTTTTTTATAGCAGTCTTGCTAAAATAATTATAGCAATTACATACGTTTGGCAGTGTTCAAGAACATGAGAAATGGCAGAGGGGAAGAATAAACTATTTCCCCTTCGAGGCTGCGTTCTCTACATTCCCTCTTTCTAAGTTTACCCCTGAGAACTACATTTCTACCTAAATCAAATTGTATTGAATCCATCTTGAATTCAGATGTTCCTAATTTTAGGGTCCTCGTCGTATTATTTGTCTAATGGGTGTTCTCAGCTCCTTTTATCTTTATGCATTTCAAACCACTTTGCTGGTTCATTCCCCACCCCGACTGACTAGAAACTCTGTACTTATGACCCTCGGACTTTATCACTTTATCACCATGGATATCTAATGAGAATGTGCTTGTAATTGTTAGATGCTATACTACAGCAATTAAAAACCACAGATAATCACTCCTATTTTTCTTTAACAAAAAACTTTAAAAAAAAGATAACTCTGAACAGATTTCCACATAAATGGAGTCCACAGTCCTATGTACTGAGGTAATCGTCTGTCTACTTTGTTAATGGCCTACATTTATAAGGGTGAACAAAAATAACTTCTCATAGGTATCTGGTTGGCCACTATGAGGACATGATGCTGAATTAAATGGGTCTTTGGCCTGATCCACAGAGCTTTTCTTATGTTCAACTTTTAAAAAGAATTTCATTTTTGAACAAAACATAGAAACCACACAAACCTTCCGAGAAGTTCATAGTGCCATGCAAAGATTCCCCTGAAGTTCACTCATCCAGGTACAAACCAATCATAGGTATGCTTCCACCAGCAATTTCTAGGCGTGTGTTGTGCAGGAGGAGGGTGGGAAAGACTATCTTTTTCTTTTTGAGGAAGAATATGACAGGAAGTTTATATATGAGAGTGATCTGAAAGCACACAAAACCCCTGGCTGTGCCCTAAAAATACAACTTGGGAAACAGCCTAAAGTCTGAATGCGGCAAACATCTCTTTCAATCAGCAAAGCTTTCAGGGGGAAAAAGAAGAAGAAATACTTTGGGAAAGAAAGAATGTTATTGCTTATTATATTTCATTCTGTTTGCTGAATTTGTTTTTCAGCCCATACCTGTTACCACTTCGAGCTTGAATGAAACTTGCTGGCGAACTTGCACTTCGAATCGACTTCTGCTGAAAGCAAATTGGTTAATGATGGAGGTCAGCATTAGAGAAAGTTTTAGACTTCAGATGCACTGCTGCCATTAAGGCTATCCCTCTAATGGTGCTTGCCTCCCCTGTCAACACCCCACTTGGGCAGGTGAGAGGACGGCTGCTGATATACCTGAAAAATATCCAAGTGGACAGTCCTGAGATAGGGTGTTTTGAAGGTGTATCCCATTTTGAGCTGGTCTGAAAGGGATCTGGATATGACGCAAAGAGACGGGACACAAGCATTTGTAAAACAGAGTTCACATTCTGAACACATACAAACACACTGTTGCTTTTGCTCCTATTTCTGGCATTTAAATGCCTTTATTTGAGGTCCAACTCCTGCTCAATTTCTGATATCCATTGTTCACCAATTTGCTTCTCAGCAAATGTCGATTCAAAATGTAAGTTCAGCAGGAAGTTTTGTTTAAACTTCAAGTGGTAATATGTTTGGAACAAATAACAAATTCAGCAAACAAAACGAAGCATAATTAGCAATTATAGTCTTAATTATTCCATGTATTTCTTTTTTTTCTAATTACCAGAAGAATTAAAATATTAATTATTCACCAAATAATATTTGCATATAATTGTTAGTTTGCAAACTGTGCACATAAAAAGTCCATCACAAGTACTAAAACATTCAGACTGTGAGGATATATGCTCATTTTGACTGGAAGCCTGTTTCAGTTAGAACCTGCTCAGGAACATGGCACCTGAAAATCCAAACATTGTAGGATTAGGGAAGGATCATCTCTGGAGATTAGCACAGTGAGGTACTTCATAGATTAGATGGAGAGGACAGACACCCAAAGGAAACCTCGGTCCTTCAGTTGCTATTTCAAATGTATTTAGTGCCACTGTCGACAGCATGAGGCCATGGAAAGTGGTCAATAAGGTAACTGACAGACTTGATTTCTTATCCTGTCTTAAGATATATTTACACAAGGACAAGAATACAACACAATTTAAGCACTCAGAGATCCACTAGGTTAAAACGTGCTTCACTGTACATTGGGTTACTATAGCTAGAATTCGTGGTCCATAGGACTGAGTCAGACCACTTGTCCCTATAGCTCAATATTCTTCTTCTTCTTCTTCTTCTTCTTCTTCTTCTTCTTCTTCTTCTTCTTCTTCTTCTAATTTTATTATTTATACTCCACCCATCTCACTGGGTTTCCCCAGACATTCTGGACAGCTCCCCAGAATAGTAACAACACCATAAAACATCAAACATTAAAAACTTCCCTACTGACAGGCAGCACTGGGGTCTCTGCCAGCCCTACCAGGAGATGCCAGTGATTTAAACTTGGACCTCCTGAATGCATACCTTCCAGCATTTCTCTGATGAAAATAGGGATGTTGTTGTTGTTGTTGTTGTTGTTGTTGTTGTTGTTGTTGTTATTTGTACCCCACTCATCTGACTGGGTTGCTCCAGTCACTCTGGGCAGCTTCCAACATATATAAAAACATAATAAAACTTCACACATTAAAAGCTGCCTTCAGATGTCTTCTAAAGGTTATGTCTCCTTGACATCTGATGGGAGGGTGCTCCACAGTGTTGGTGCCACTACTGAGAAGGCCCAGTGACAGCATTTCTGATGTTAAAAATGGTCTGGAAATATTCAAATTCATTTTCATATCATCTCTCCCGAGAGATGACTCCAATAGCCGTTTGATACAGTAAATCAGACTTGAACTTTTAATTGCTCAAAAGGTGTGATGACTCATCTCAAAAGCATTCCTTTACCCCTACCCCCACTCCCAGAAAGCTCCTCCATATTGTTGCTTTTAGCTAATTTGTGCTTCTCCTCAGACAAAGCCTAAATACTCCCTGCTGCAAAGGAGCAACCATTCCTTCTTTTTTGCCTCAGTGAAGAGGCATTTCTAGTCAGGCTCACCTTTGACATTTCCTAGAACATAGCAGTATTCTATTTTGTTAGTTTCCTGAAGAACACTTTCCCTAACTGAGGAGGGGATTGTCCTAACTGGCCCAGGAAGAGGGGCAGCAGTTATTTTTTGCATCGCTTTCACAAGCACCTTCTTTTCCCTGCCTTCCACGGAGCATGTTCAGGTTTTGCTCAATGTTAAAGAAAAATTAGCAAAAGTGTAGGAAGGTTAGCACCATATCAAGATTGCAGCGATTGTTTTTGCAGCAGCTGTCTCCTGGCCGTGGCCCCGACACACATCCATCATGCCATCATGTATCCATTCAGTGCACAATTGGCAGGGAACGAGATGGAAATAGTCCATCAATCTAATGTCACAGCTGTAATAAAAATCTACAGAAAACCTATAAACAATGGTTATACCCTCAGTTATACAGCTCCAATGTGCTGACTGGTGTGAAGTGCGCCAAAGAGTAGAGGCAGAGAAGGAATTCATGGGAGGTTGGGGGGGGTGCAACTCCTCAGCAGCCTGCCATTGAAGTCATTTTGCAAGCACCAAATATTGCAGGTTACAGCCTTGCAAAAGCCGAAGAAAGGAGATGGAATAAAAAAAAAATTGCTGAAATTCATACACACAAAGAGCAAATAATCTGGCAGCCACAGTAGCTACCGCCGTGCATGTTTTTGTTGAATAAACCCTCTTTTACCCACAAATACAAAGACATAAGTGCCCATTTGTTAGGGTTATAAAGCTCTCAGATAAATAGTCAAAAGTACTTTAGGGAAGTACGTTTTCCATCTTTGCCAATAAATGGGGAGATGTGTATATATTCCTCCTTTGCACTGTACCTCAAACTGCACTTAGCAAAGCCAAGGGTGATTTGAGGTTTTTCCTTCTTTAAAAAAAGAAGAAATTGTTCTCACTTTAGAATAAGAGTGCAATGCTATCAAGAGTGCAGAACTCAGTAAAAGACTCTTGGTAAGTTTCAGACTAATGGATCATGTGACAAGCAATCCCGTGTTTTAACAATCCCCACTCTATGTCAAGCTCAACATACAACAGTACAATGGCTTGACAAAAGGAATATATCCAGAAAAATATGGAATGCAAAACATGATTTGGCTATTTAGCTAATGTTGGGTTGTTGTTTTCATGTAAAGTGAACTAGGAAGATATTCCTACAGATGAAATGGTGAAAAGCAGATTACCCAAGGGATAATATCAGGGATTGCCAAACTGGAAGTTATGAACGTCGCACTGTCAGGGCATCAGAAATCAAACAACTTGACTGTGCAGAAAAGACAGAAGCTTGCATTCCAACAGTGGATTATGCAGAAATTCAAGGGCAAAAGCCAATGTGGAAAACATCCTTTTAATTCTTACACAAGTGATATGAGATCTAGAAGCCTCCAATGTGTTGAATAATGGTTAAGATCTCTTCGCAGTTTATGTATCTATCCATGCCTATTACTAAAAAATTCAAAATGTGACAGACAAGGGGTTCAAAGCACATGTATCTTATAGGAATACTTATCATCGCTTATCATAGCCATGACAGGCTGTTTCTTTGAATACAAAAAAATCTACTAGATTAACTGTGCTGCGTGTCTGTGTATGAGTGATGTAAGGAATCCTCAGAGTACAATCCTCGACAATGGGAGAAGCTAACCCCCAACCAGCAGTAAGATGCACTTCCCAAGCAAGAAGTTGCTCTCCCCACTGCCCCAAGATCTCACCAGTTTTCATGGCAGTGAAAATTTAAATGACATACCACAGCACTGGGTAGAGAAGTTTAAAACTCTCCACATGGCCCAGAACCCCAATGGAGATGCCACTGATCATTTTGGTGAGCAGGGATGGAGCAGCAGTAATCTGCACAGATTAGCTGAGGAGGAAGGATGTGTCCCCATGTGTGTCTGTGCATGTCTCTCTGTGTGTTCGGGACTCCAGTGCATGGTGGCCTACACATACTCATTCCTGACATGTGACACACGCACCACGAGGGGAAATCAGGCCACTGGATCAAAAAAGGTGACAGAACCAAGCCACATATGTCTACTTAGAAGTAAGTCACCTTGAGTTCAATGGGGCTCACTCCCACATTAGTGTGCCATAGTCTCATGGTAATCAGAGAAACATAAGCTCTTAGCTCTGATGTTACACAGCATTCGTTTCAATGGGATGTCTGAGGAGTGTCTAACTTCCTCCGATGTGCACCAAATCTGCTTTTTAAAATCACCAGCGATTACATTTAAGAACTGCATCATGATAAGGTTGCATTGTTTTGCTGGATGTAAGGCTCCAACAGAAGAAACAACTGCTTTTTGCAGTTATCTGTACTTCACGACTCTTCAGGTCTGGGTGTTTCTTGAGTTGCTTAATCTACCAAGGTTGGGGGAAGGGAGCAAAACAACAACAACAACCCAGTTTGTGTTGCAGTGTCGCTTCCTTTGTTTAACTCAGCTATCTTCATACTCCTCTCTTGCCCGCTAGAAGATTTGTGAAATATTTTTGGAGAAATGTTCCTGTTTATGAAATCATAATCAAATACTTGTGGGGTGAGTTGGCAGTGCAGTTGTTGACAGATGTGTCTCAGGCCTTTGTGTTGCAAGATAATGGTTTGAGTTAACAAAAATTGTTTTGGTGAGGTCATGGGTCTCTTCAGCATCAAACACAACAGAGCAATCTGGGTAATGAGGACCAGCAGGAATGGCACTGAGATGATGCAAATACATAGGTTTTTTAGTTTTTTTAAAAAAATAGTTCTGACTTAAGGCTTGTGCTTGCTGACTTTAAATAGCACAATTCTCATCAGTTTGTTTTCCACCATGCAGGATCTGGGATAGTATGTGCTCTACATCACAAGCTTGAGAAATGTCAAGTGCACATTATAGGATTTTGCATAATTACCTATCCGGAAGAACACTAGCACTTATGTTATCAGATAAATATAACAAAGGTATCTTAATTCTTCGGCAAATGAGAAAACCCAAACTCTTATGAATCTCCCATAATTCCCCATCTCCAGTTGATACCCAATGGATCGCTCTGTCATGCTGTTCATTTAAGTTATTGTAACACTACTAGAAGCCTTCATCTTTCAAAAAGAGACTTATTTTTTGATCCTGCATGGTTCATTGTAACCACTTAATTCCTCTCCTCCTCCACCCTAAAGCATCTGTGAGAGAGGCATAGCTGGAGACACATCATTCTTCATAGGTTGTGTGGCTCAGAGACGGGTGTCACTAGAGTGCAGAAATGTTCTGGGAATTATAAATTGCTGGAGGGATTCCAGTGAAACAGAACCAGCCACCCAACTTGTTCCACACTTAAGTAATGATAAAGGAAGTTAATTGGTGGCTGTGGGTTGGCTCCCAGGAGAAGCTTTTAGGAATGATTCCCATGAACTGTTTGGGGGTGGTTTATGGGCTCAACCATATTATCATATTGTTCTCGTGAAGACTAACTATCTGATGACAGTGTCTGAGTGAAAGCAGCATCACAGATCTAAGGGATTCTGCACATGCAAACTTCTTTTTGAAATGAATCTGTGGCTGGGAAGATCGTCCCTCCTCCCAATCGGTGTTGAGCAGAGGTGAGACAGTGGTCATATCCTTCATAGAAACTGAAGCACATATCAATGTACAAAATTTTGCCCTTTTGATAACAGGCTGCTTTCCCCAAGAAAAAATCACTAGAGCTCAGCACAGCCTTTTCACAGCTATTGTTGAATGGAAAACACACAGCTATTAATGGCTTTTATTTTATTTAACAAAACTCTTTCCTTGGGCTTCAGGTCATTTCAGCAACAGCATCTGCTAATCTCAATTTGACAAAGAGCTTGTTATGCATTTGATGGTATGAATCGAAGTGATGGAAGGTTCATCTTAGACAAATATCCATTACTATCACTTAAAGAATAAGTATGAAAGAGCTTGGGGACAATTGGTAATATAAAAATTGGCACATTGTCTGAGGATTTAAAAAAAATAAAATCAGAATAGATAGTGGCTTCCAGAGAGAGAGAGAGAGAGAGAGAGAGAGAGAGAGAGTGTTTGTAATTCAATAAGTACCATATATTTTTATTTTTAGATTATTAAATGCTTGCTTTGAACAATGACTCTTCTTTCCATTTAAATATATTTAATTTAGTAGTTTCAGTTAAGGACTGAAGTGTTGTTAAATCCACAATAATTCAGAGCCGGGCTGTCTTTGTGGTTCTCCCTCTTCTGTGGTGTAGCATCCCTGTCAAGACAAAACAGGTGCCCACTATCTGCACTTCCCAGAAACAGATGAAGTCATTTTTGTTCTGACTGGCTTGATATTCCCACCTGGATGAATGGGTCTCTGTCATAGGTCTGCTTTGTTTGTGTGTTTGTTTTCTGCACTGCATTTAACTGGGAATGAGCTGGAGATGGGCTTTTGCTGGTATCTTGTACATCACCTTGAGATGTGTGTTTGAAAGGCAATCAATCTATCAAGCATTATTTTTACGTGCTTCACTTTTGTTTTTTTCTTTGCTCCCTTGGAA